TTGTGAATATTTGTTGTAGCAAATCCAGCGGCTTTTCTGCTTGCTCAGTTTTTTTTGGAAAGTACCATGCAACAAATAAAAATCTCCTTGTAGCCTGTAACTAACTCTCTGGGGTAGAACTGTGCTGCGTTTGAATCCCTTCACATGCACAACAGTGCAAATGTAACATTGCTTATCAGAGAGGAAGACTGTGTAAAAGGAGAGGTGGTAGGATAGTCATATTAAATTGACTCTGTGTGTTTGTTAATACCAGCCAGCTTCCACCCATCTTGAGAGCTGTCATGAGGGACCAGTTAGGTGGAATGCAAATTAATTCTGATAAAAAGGAAGGGAATCCAAAAAGAGCAAAAGAGTCCATGAGAGAACAGGCAGGAGATAACAAAAAACAGTTACAGAGTTAGAAGCAAAGATACATGAAAAAACAAACAGGAATGGAAATACCGTAAGATTAATTTCCCTCTGTATGTACATTGATCAAAGTCTGAAATTCTCCACTTTATTTCCATTTCTGACATTAGTTGGCTTTGTGACCTCAAGAAAGCCTGGTTCCTTAAGGGTGCCATGTGAGAGACGCTATTAGTTCTGCTGTTTGAGCTAAACTATAGTAATGTAATAAGAGGGAGAAAAATTAGTGGGTTTAGGGAAGGAAACGACAAACTAAGTGACCTGCGACTGCAAAATGTTTTTTCAGTGTCTATGTAGAACTTCATAGCCATTTTTTGACAGTAAGATGAGATTTGGCCATACTGCAGCATACTGAAGCATCTTAGTTTCAGCTGATGAACTTGTTCTGAATATCTGTGAGCCTTTTTTTGAGCATTGTATCTGCAAAGTGTCTGCATACCAACTGGGAAAGATTTACAACATTTTCTGAATGTACGATGACCGAACAAGTGAAAATGTTTAACCAGTACAAAAGTAGGGTGTATATACTGATGTATTTCTAAGAAAGAAGGGTTACACTGTGTGATATAACTTGGGAGGAGAGCCAAGGGGGATGTGAAACTCCCAGCTGCTCGTCTCCTTGCCTCTCATTAGCAATCACTGTATGAGAAAGCCTTTCCTTAAAAATACTGATCTATTATTCAATAGAATTGATATATTAGCTTCCTTTTTGTACAGGAAGTGTTGTATAGTTCTGCTTTCTGTGCTGAAGCTGGAAGCTTCAAATGGGAATTTAACACTTCTCATTACCTTACTGCTAATTTATTGATAAGAAATATCAATATTATTAAAGTGATCACATACAGGTATTTCTTGCTTCCATCATTATTGAAGCAAAAAGGTAATTTTTTTTAGACCTTTTAGAGGTAAGTGCTATGCAGATTGCAAAGGTACTCCCGAAGACTTCCCAGAGTGTTCAAGGCAAAGCAACAGGCAGCTGAAGCAAACCTTCTGAGCGTGAAGGAGTACTTGGTTGCAGAAGTAACAGAAAGGTATCTTGTGTGCTGCCTGCATGCAAAATCTGCATGCTTATGAATGCTATCTTCATTTCACTGAAGTCAAGGGGTTTTTCTTTGAAAAATTTGGGCCAGGATTTTACCATTAATGTGATAATTTTTGTGTGTTTTTTTTTTCTTTTAAATGAATTCAGATTGATACAAGTAATAATATATTCTTTAGCAATCTTAACTGTTTAGCTGGGGGGGTGGGGGTACTGGGGAGAGGGGCAGAGAATAGTCCCTGCTTCTCAGTCTGGTTTCTATTTTTATGTTTGTACCATCCTTTACATTAGCTAGTACTAGTGAATGCTGTCAAAACCACATTATAAATTAATTAATCTTAAGAACTATCTTTTGATGCATTTTGGTTTAAATGCACTTGTTTTTAAAAGACAAGGTCCTGGATGCTCTGCTACAGTACTCACTGACTTTGTTTTCTGTCACCAGAGCTTATCAGAAGCAATAGCAGTATTCTGTGCATTTATATTACATTCATTTTCCCTTAAAAGAAAGCGCCATAAAAGGAGAGCATTTAGAACCCTTCAAATGAAACTTGTCACAGAGCAAATCGATTTATTCTGAAAGTTAACAAAGTGAGCCATGTTTGTCATTTTAGTGAGAGAGAGATTGAGGTCAGCCCCTGCATTTTTTTTCCACTCAGCTCTTGGATGTGGAAAAGTGGTTAGCATGACACAAAAGAGTGTTGTGGCAAGGCCACCATTGGAAATGATAGGTAAATCTCAGTGAACAGTCTACTACCAAGTATTTGGAGTGATTGGGATATATGGGAGACAGTCATGGTAAACCCTGGGATGGGGATAATTAAATTGGGCTCAGGCACTGGAGGAAGGGATTGGGGTGGGGAAACTGAGCCTGTGTGTAGTGGGGAACATTGTACCTTCAGCCACCATAACCAAAATTAACTATTTTTTAAAAATAATAAGCAGAGCAGTCAACTGCTTTTAATTTGACACTTCTCTGTGCTTAGCAGTGCTGCTTTTCAGAGCCTCTCAGTGATATTACTTGAGATCGTATTTAAAAAAGCCAAATGACCTCTGGAAAGTTCAGCTTCATGATACTGATAATTGTTAAACAATTTCTTCACTATTTATCAATGATTGGTTTAAAGTGAACCTAAGAAATTAATTGATTGTTTGTTGCCAGCTGTCCACCACCATAACGGTAGACACACCAGTTCATTGACTGGGTACTTGAAAAATCATGTGTGTATGTTTTGAAAATACTTTTCTCTTAAGACTGTATTCTTGATGGTGGCTACAGTTCAATAATGCACAGAGTTGGAAGGCTGAGGTTTTGTTCTTTGCTTTTCTTCTCTGTTTTTATGGCTTCCTCTTTTAAGACAAGTTTCCAACTGACCCATTAAGAAAAAAAAAGCACGAAGAAAAAAAGCTACCACCCCCCCCTCCAAAAATCTCTCACAAGCAAACAACCCAAAAACAAAACCCCCAAAGTATGGTTACCTTGGGGAAGTTAAGTCTAAACAAGTATACCCTAATAACTATTAGCAGACGAATTAAATGATTTATTAGACAATCTTTACTTAGCTTCTTAACTCTTACAACTGCCAGTAGGATTAAAACATGCATATAGCTCGCAGCACATCCCCAGGGTTTGGCATATACTTTTTAGTTGCTCAGAGAACTCAGGTTTATATCCTTTTTTTAGGTGCAGTAGGTATTGTGGCAATTCGAGCAAAATTAAAGCATTCCTAAAGCACAAGAGTGCGTCGGAATGGTGTTTTAAGAATTAAGTGCTTGCTTACTGCTTTCATGCTGTTTGAAACCTTTATTCCTGGCTCTTTTCCAATGTGGAAGGAGTTTGTTTTCAGAGAAATATTGTTGCCAAGGGACGAATGTTGACTGTGTTGTGTTTAAAAAAGGCTGATATTAATTACATTCTTTTAGCTATTCTCCTTCTCTGGATAACTTTAAAAGGTCCTTCCAATTTCCAGAATACTTAGGTAAGCTCTCAGAACATGAGCACAGTGCCTTGTCTTCATTTATGTGAAGAATGTATTAAAGAACTGGTGAGGGCTGAACTCATTTTTGTGCACAGCAGAGAAATGCTGGTTTCAGATTATTACACTAATTAAGAACATACAACAGCGTTATTGAATGCAGTGATTTCCTTCCCTTTCCTCTTTTATCTTTAAAGTCTTTATCTGAGCTAGTTGTTAGATAACCTGTGTGGGGAGCTGCTTATTGCATTAGACCAGAGGAATAGACTAATTCTTTTTTCAGGACTGGGGCAGTAGTCTTTGGGTTTTTCCATTTCCCCGTTGGTAATGTGAACCTAATGTTTTGCTCTGGGTTTTGGTTCTTACAAGGATCAGGCTGAATTATTTAACTTTTCTACAGGACAGTTTTGTGCAAACCTCCTTGAGCTGGGTTAGTTCTGGTGGTCCCAGTGATGGGACTAGTACTATGCTCACCCCACCAGAACTTGCACAGAGTGTGGTTTGTTGTTTTGGCTTGTTTTTTCCCCCAGCTAGCTCCAGAAGGACTGAGCCCAGCTCATGTTTCTTAGTCTTCTGGCTATTTCAGAGTTTTAGATCATTTTGTTCTGTACTAGGCAAAACGCTGCTTTCCAAGTGTTTTTACTTAATACTTGGTACTTTAAGAAATATGATGTCAAGAGGGCATAATGTACATAACAACTGTGCAGAGCTCACCTTAGGGTGCCAATGCAGCTGCCTTGACGTTGCTGTGCAGGAGCCAGATAGGACCAGTAGAACAAGCTGAGCCAGAACCGGTGAATTTTCCTTACCAGCCCTCCCCTCAGCCTTCCATGTCTCTTTGCACACTTGGGGCCTTATCCTCTGCTCTCATGCCTCCTTCAGTGGGATGAGTTCAGTGTGTCCTTTGAGTATATAGGAGAAAGAGCTCCACCGAGGTTTTATGAGTCAACTCCAGCCCTGGCTGCTGAGCAGTGATCAGTCCTCTCTGGAGCTACCTGGATGTAGCCTGATAGCTTATGTTCAACTTCTGAAACCTTCCTGGGAATCTGTAGGCCTACTGGACATAAGTGAAGGCCAGCTTTAGTGGGCAAAATCTTGTTTTAACCAAAGATTACATACTTTCTGCCAGCTACGAGCTCTCAAGAGAGGCATATATTTCTTCCCTGCATTCAGACTGTGGAAGGCAGCCTTCCTACTTGAATCCTGATGTGAAAGCTCCCTTTCTCTCAGCTTTCCTTCTAGTCACTCTTTCTGCTTTCCTGAAAACTTGCTTTAATCCTAACACTTGCTGGAAACTTCTGATAGAGATAAGCATTGGCTTACTGTCCTGATAAATTCTGTTGTTTGAAAAAACAGATCTTACTCATTCCAGTTGTCCCCCAAGAGATAGTCCTTATTATTCAGGAGTTCATGTTGACTTATGAAAGAGTAATGTGCATTTACAATGAAATTGTCCAAGCTATATTAATAAATTAGCCTTCAATTTATGGATTGCCAAGGAACATAAATAACTGCCTACAAAAGCCTGTACTGTCTCAGTAGCATTCTGTTTAAATAGCTTTATATTTTTATTTGTTTAGACAGCTTTGACAGAAATTTCTGAGTATTCATCCGATAATGACAGCGTGGGAGAAGGAGGGACTGGCCTGGTGACCACTACTCCAGGATCCACTAAGAGCTTACAGTCGAGGGCAGGAGTGGACACCGGGGATATTACAGCACGGCCGGCCAGCGAGTGGCTGAGGTCTGCAGAGGCCCTTCTTAGCACCCCCAGAAAGCAGGCGGGCAAAGCCCCCCGAGCCCTCACCGAGTCTGTGAAGAAGAGGAAGCTGCTGAGGTAAATGCACTGTCTGCCTTAAGGCATTCTTATTTTTTCTTAATTGTAAATAAAAGAATACTTATAGAACAGTAGGAATGCATTTCCAGGGGAAGCATTTTAGAGATGCAGACTCCAAAAACTGAACAAATGACATTTATTTGTAAACAAGCAAACAGGGTGAGAAAGAACTCAGTTCAGATTTTAAATCTGTGGTGAAAGCTTTTGAACTCCTGTGTACAAATCCACATTCATTATTCACTATTTCTCTAGCTAATCACAGTGCAGAAGTGGTCACTTCCTATACTGAGTTAATGAAAGTTGCTTGAACATAAATGGTATATATGAAGGTATGCCTCAAATTACAGAGACTACAACTACAAATATTTTCAACGTGATTCCTTCTTACTTTTTTTCACAGGTGATTCTATGTGCAGTAATCAATCAATCAATTACTTAAAAATGAATCTTCACTTTGGTGAAATAGCCAGACTCTATTTTTCTCTAAAAATGTTCTTGCTTATTTCAAAATGCTGCCTGAGGGAACAGATCTGGAGGTCCTGATTACTGAGGATCTCTACACTTAGAAGTGTTTTGCTCGTGCATTCAAACTCTATTTCTTGTTACTTCAAAAATATGACACTACTGTACTATGTCAGACCAAAGCTGTAACCTCCAGAAATGCCTGTTTGTGGCCAAAAGCAAGTATGTGTGAAAGTAATAAGAACAGGACAAGTGTATAGCAATATTTTGGCCAGATGCACTTCCAGCTTTCAGCAGGTTACCACTTAGGAGCTGTTTCCTACACTCAGTGGGTTTGTCTTTTCATGAGTTTGCCCAGTAGTCTTCTGAAGCCATAAAAACTTTTGGCTCCTGCAGTAACATTCCAGGGTTAGTTAGCAGTTCTGTATCTTAAACGTGATTTGAAACTGCAGCTACCAGGTTCACTTGGTGACCTGTACTATCAACAATGTTAGTGCAAAAATATATTTTACAGCAAAGATACTATGAAACAAGTGTGTAAGAGAATAAATGGCTCTAAAACCAAACCAACCAACCCAAGCCAACCACAATGATATAGAATGTTATCTGTTGGGAGTGGCCAGAGGAGCAGAGCTTGAAGGATTTTTCATTCTTCCATCCTGTGGTTCTACCTTGGGTTCCTTTGGGAACAGGGAAGCAGGCAGGAAATTCTTCAGTTATGAGTTTTGTTTATCTAGGTGTTTGTCCAGGTAATAGTCATCTTTTCACTCTTCCTGTTCAGGGCATTAATTTTGTGTGTGTCTCTGCCATCCTTCCTTTTACTGTTGATGGAGAACATTTTCATTGATATGATGTGCTGCATCTTCAATAGGAAAGCTCAGATTTTCAGTGCTGTGGATTGAAGACCAGTCTGGGGAAGGGTTTATCAAACACTACAGAAATCAAGATGTAACCAAGCCAAGAGAAAACTTCAGAAGTAGGCTGATTGTGGATGATTAAAATAAATTCCGCTTATCCTAGTGTTAGAAAATGGAGTGTAGATTCAACAACTTTGAATGGAAAAAAATGAGAAACCTGTCTAGGTCCCCAAAAGAACATGCACAATATACAGTGTTGCTGGTGATGTGCAAAATTTGAAGGTGCATGTTGCAGTCCTCTTCTTTAGGAGTTAAGTGGAGTTTTGGAAAGTGATCAGCATTTGCAGACAAGAAAGGCATGACAGAAGCAATTGCTCCCCCACCATGCCTATGAACTGGACTGTTCTATGCGCATTTGCCAAACTCTCATCTGTGTTCATGTAACCCCTGTAATGTTAGTATTTGTTCCCAAAATTGTTGTAAATAACGATTGTTCTTTCTGCCACAGTCCACAGGGGAGAGCAGGTAGTTTGTATGGTGGTGTTTGTCCTTCAGGGCTGTTGGTCATCCCAGGCAGGTTCTGAAGTAACCTGCAGGGCAGTGCTGTAGGAGGTGCCAGTTTGTCATGTAGTCGGGAAGTATCATCTCTTGGATTCACAGCCGTATCTCTGCTTCTGGACATCTTCACCTTAAACATTGGTTTTACATGGCATCTTGTCTCACCACCCTTATTTAAACAAAATTGGTGATGGATGGAGTAGGAGTGGTATAATTTTCCCAGGGATGCTGACAGATAAATGGCATTTTACTACACCCATAAGCTACTAAGAGAGTTGATAAAGAAGTGCTGCTAGTGGTATTTGGTCCTAAGGTGAGTTGCCTTGGTGATCAGGTCAAGAGCTGTTGGGTTTAGGTATTCTTTTTATTCCACTATGAAGATTCAGTGTCTCAGCTTGAGTCAACTCTGCATGGGAAAATAATGCAAGGGATTTGCACACCTGATGGGAGAGCATATACACTGCAAATAGAAGTTTTCAGGAAGTTCTTTTTAAATTTGGAATTCATGTAAATGCTGCAGGGTGAAATGTTAAACTGCACTATTTCCAAGTCTTTCAAAGTTCCCTTGTGAAAGAAGGGAGTAATGAAAAGTAGTGAGAGTCTCAATGTTTGTTACAGAGGTTAAACAAGTAACTGAGTTCCTTCAGAATTTATAAAGAAGAAAGAAGAAAACTCAAAATGCATGGATGCATTCAGCTCTTCTCATCTACAAGTAAACCTTCCATAAAGGTGTTTTAGATTGTTTGCTTTTTCTACTAAGATTCTATTTCCATCAGGGAAAAAAAAACAAACAACAGTCCAAGTTTCAGTGCAGGAAACAGATATCTTAAGTTATATAATGTTATCCCTAGTTCTAAATCTGTCATGTTGCAAGAGCTTGTAGTTGTGAAGAACAGCTGTTTTTTGTTTGTTGTTTTTAATATTTGAGTGGCCATTTTTAGTTTGATAGTAAAATAAAATCTTGGGAAATTCTGTTTAATTATCATATATCTACTTGTATGCAGACCACATACAGATCTGAGCTGCTAAAATTAACCTCTGTTATCAAAAGGGGAGAAATTACAGAATGTCCTGGTACTATGTGCAGTAAAATGAAACCCGGTTGTCACATGAGGCCAACTGAGGTCCTGAAAATAAAGGAAATTGCCAAGGGAGGAAGGAGCTGGCACAAATAAAGCAGGCTTTTACTCTAAAATTGGGTCTGTTCTTTCTTACACATGTCCACGAGTAGCATGAGGGTGTAACAGCAGCAGACTAGCCTTTTGACCCTCCTGTTCTTATGCTGATTTTAACTATTGGATTAAGTTTTCCTTGCTAGTGAATTTCTTGTTGGATTAGGAGATTATAACTGAAGCATATAATGGCTGCAATAGTAATCACTGGCAATGTACATGTGCAAGTTATTTTGCACTTACTGAAAGTTAAAGCATCTTTCTTTTTTTATAAAGTGTGGATGCTTTCATGGGGCCAGATGTTTGGTATTAACAGGAAAAAAAAACCCACCTTTTTCCTTAAAATAACAGAATTCTCCAATTTAATGTGTAATGTACATTACTGATTGGAGTGGTTTAGCAGGGTACAGTTGTTCCCCATCAGAAGTAAGTAATTTTGATGCCTTTGGTTTGTTTAACCATGGAGCTTACTTTTGTATGCAAGATCTCTGCTCAGGCAAGTCAGAACCTTCAGAACTGAAGGGGAAGCTCTTCCTTTACCTCGTGGGCTCCTGCAGAGTCTTCCTTTTGACTTCATTACTCTCTTCTGTAAGGAATTGTGCATGTGAGTCTGGCATTTGATTTTTATTTGTTTACTTTTTTTAATACCAGTCAAAAAAGGGATAACTGATTTCTGGGAAGCCTCTCCTTATTGAATCATCCTACTTCATGTGAAGGCCTCTGCTGCAAGACAATATGGAATAACTTTTTTTGGTACGGATTCTGAAGAGCCAGAGAACTGTAGTCAACTTCTCAGCTGTGGTTTGGGGTATTTTTCAATGGCTCATAAGAAGGGGGGTGACCAATGTTTTGAAAACTATGAAAGGAGCGGGCCCCAAAAGCTTTCTTATTTCCAAAGATGTTCCTAGATTAGGAACATCCTAGATGTTTCAGATAGTTTGGCTAAGAGCTTGGCTAAGTAGAGGCATGGGAAAATCAACTGCCTAGAAAGTTTTACTGAAAATCTCTCACTGGAGGCCATAAGTGATGTAGAAAGTGGTCACTCACCCTGTTCTCAGCAGTTAGAACTGTAATCCTTCTTACATCTGTTCTTCTGCACTGTCAGAGACAGCTACGGCCTGGAAAATAAATCTCACTACACAAGAATGATAAAGCCTTGGTTTCTGTGACAAAGAACTATTCTTGATTTGCAGGATTAATTTTATTATAGTGCCATGTACCACTTGCAACAGTCTAATTGTTAAAGGTGATATTGAAGATGTCTCTAGAATATTTTACAATCAGGAAATTACATATTAAGACATTGTAAATTCTCTACATGGTCACTTTTGGCTGATGCAATTGCTTGCTTTCAGTGTGCTACAAGGAGTCACAAAAAATGGTATCTTTGTTCCACATATGTTTTGTAGAGGTGACCTCTTTTGTGGAACAATTGAAAAAAGATGGTGAGAGACTACAGGGACTCAGAAAGACTTTTGGCTTATTGAACTCTTTAGAGAAGCTCCAAATCCTTGAATATTTATGACTCTACAAGAGGCTTTCCAGTATGTCTGCCTTTTTGATTTGGCTAGTGTAAACAAACCCTCTCTGGGTGGGTGCAATAGATCAGAGCATTGTAAGCTAATTGATAATAGCTGATGGGTTTGCAGTGTTCACAAATCAAGTGCCAGCAGGCTTAGGGACCCTTTTTAATTCTTTAGCAAGCTCCCCATGGAGTCAAAATGGTCAGGTGAGTGTTGCAGAAGCCAGTTACTTCACCAGTCAACTTGGAAATATGAGAGGAATTATGTCCTTGCTTTGAAAAGGGGGGGGGTATTGCCCACTCCTGAGATGGGAATATGTATTTGTGTAACCTGTAGTGTTTTGAAATACAAGGAGTCCTGAAGTACAGTGTATATGTCGAGATGACTCGATAATGAGATGCTTAAGTGGTCACTGTTTTTAAATTCAGACGAAGTCTGGGCAGGAGTAGGCTTGGATGAATGTAGGGTTATTTTTGGTAAGTGCCTTGCTGAATGAAAACCTTAATAATAAATAAACACAGATCTCCAGCACTTCAGAAAGATTGAAAATTGCTTTTCAAAACACAGCCTACTCACTAATGCTCTTCTGTTGTTGTTTGTTTTTCTGTTAGCCTCCTTGGAGTTGGAAAGTAGGGACCAGCAGCCTTACTTACTGATCAGGCTCAGTGTTACCTTTTGGAGATACTTGTCACATAGTGGCAAAAAGTTCTTCAGTCTTGCTGTTGAAATTTGTGGAAAGAGGCAGCCACCAGAAACAGGGCTTTTGTACTAGGTTCTGAGCTTTCTTACAGTCATCAAAGCTGTCTTTCATGTGGATACTGTTGGACATCGACAATAATGGCAATGTGTTGTTTTAAATACAGTATTTCAATAAACTCAGATTTAGTACAGAAATAGGATATGGATTTCTGGTTGTTAAATCTGTCCGCCTTCAGGGATTTAAAGGCACAAAATAGTTGTACTGAAAATTTCATGATTAAAAATAAAAAGGTTGTGGGCAGTGGAGATTGTATCTAAGCAGTTTGGCTTCACTAAACAGCCTTTGCATTAGCAATTTGCCAAATGCATTCAATTTGCTCATATTAAAATATTCTGGGGGCAAGTTTGAAGTGCGGGTCAGTAAAGTATGCATCTCAAATTACAGTTTTTGTTACTTAAATACAGTTTGTCAGGTCCCTTGATTACAGAAATTGTACATTAGTTTGTACAAAATATGTTTGCTATATATGAATACACATATACAAACACACACTGGATGTTGGGTGTGTCATGGAAGACAATTACATACATCATAAGGGCTAGATCTGGGAACTGAATAACTTTTCTTAAACTCCTTGAAGCAGCTAGATGTATAAATAAATACAGACTGCAGATTAACCAAGAGTTGGTACTGTAGAATCCATTCTCCACCCTTGATGGCAAGAAAGGTCTTAGATTTGACAAAATTAACCCAAGCAGTTTCTGCAGCCTGAATAGCTGAAATGCTAGGAAAGGTAGGGGATATTTCAGAAGGACAATGTATGCACAGTGAAAAGTGAATATTATTCATCTCTACCTTGTATTACCTAAATAAGCAAGTTACTTTCATGTACTAGAATCTATGCCAAAAAAAGACTTTTAGTCCCAGTAAACCCAGCTAACTACCAAAGCTGAAAGCTCATTAGATATTGAACAAGCCACGGACATGCAATTTGGAATAAAATAGTAGTAATTTTAACTGTTTGCTTTTTTTCAGAACATTAAGTTCATTCTTACACTGAAGCTGGCACCTGCTTAAGCTTTGCATAAGCTCTGTGTAACTGTCTTATCTTTAATCTGCACAGCCAGGAGTGCCTCCGACTGTGTAGTTTACAGTGTCTCACAGCACATACAAAAGTGTTTGCAACAGTGTGGGCACCTGTATTGTATGAGGAATTAGTAGTTTTCAAATGCCATTATCATCAACCTGTTAGAATATGCAATAGAAAGCACCCTTTTCTTTGTTTTACATGTTTGAGCATCCTGGGTTTGGAGTGCTGTTTACATTTCTTTGTTTCTACCTTTCAAAAGAAGCAAACCATAAACTACCAACTCTCTTGCCATCAAATTCCTTTTGTGCATGGCATGTCCTTGAATTGCATTTTCCAATTTCACAATGTATCAAACAGACATTATTAAAAAAACATACTTCCAATGAGCAGCTAAGAACTGCTCATACGTACATTTTGTTTAAATTTTATATTCTGCAGTCAAGAAGTGCAAAACGCTTTATGTTGTTTTCAGTTTAAACTATTTTTAACTGCATTTGGAAAGTGAATGGAAGAATTATTATTAACAAACATAAATGAATTTTATTAGCACAAAGGGCTGCTAACGAAAGGCAGTTTTACTTTTCATGGACCTTTGTAGTAACTGTTATTCTAATACAAGCATGGTTAGCAAATTAGTAATGAAGCTGTGTCAGTGAGACCCTACCTGGTAGGCATATCAGACCTGAAGCAAGAATGGTGTATTACTGTTGTGTGCAATAGCCACGAAGCCAGGAACTTGTTTTCCTTTGTGCTACAGGGTGATCCTACCGTAGGTGCAACAGTAGTGGGCTTACAGAAGAGTAGGAGCTGATTGACTGGGCACAACCATAGCCCTGTTTCAGGGAAAGGGGGAAGAATTTAGGCTGTGAGCCAATAATAGGTGCTGTCTTATGCAGGTACTTTTAAGGCTTTCTAGCATTATTTGGACAAAAAAAAAAAGTACATTTAACTGTTGTCTGTGGAAGGAATCAAATAGGGTTTTAGAACACTTCTGCTGAACAATTTTCTTTCACCAGATCAAAATCTTGAACTACTAGCTGTACTGTGTATGTCTATAGTCTAACCACACAGTTCAATGGCAGACTCATGAATGCAAGACTTAAACAAACTCAAAATGGGTTTACCTGCTGTATTTCTAAGCCTAGCTGAGCTGGCATTTACCTGTCCCAGCATGGCTCATGTAGACCATGCAGCCAAGCTGAATTACGAGTGCATCTGGGAATGGTTCCCTGGCAAGAAGAGAAACTGGGTGGACGGTTTGCTGGAGTTTATAGAACTGTCTTGCTCCCAAGTGTTGCAATGCAGTAATGCCTGAGTGCCTAAGTTTTGGGGAAAATGTGGCTGGGCAGAGTGTTACCAGCACAGTAAGCTGTCCTGTACGAAGTTCAGTGCTTGACTGTGCTGCTCTTGGTACCAAAGCTTCCATTGCACTTGCCCGTATTAGTTGCCCCTGTGTCTTAAAGTCCATGTTAAAAGCAGGTTTAAGCAAGGTTCTTAAGCTTACCTGGAGGTTCACTGGAGCCCAAGGTTTCCCAAATATTTTTTGTTTTCTCCATAATGTAGCAGATTTTGTAGCTTAAGTGTGGGCTCTTTCTTTGGGGAGTTAGTGATTTTTTCCTCTTCTGAAAGAGTGAGAGTTTCTATCTTCCTTGCCTGAACCACACTAGCCATGGAAGAGATGCAGTAATGTAAACTACAAAACTTATATGGGTCATTCTGTGTCAAATGTGACTCTTGTATTTCAGAGTGCTTATTCATTGATCTTTACTCCTAAGATGCTTAGCCATGCCATCTAATAATTCTTGCGATAGTTATGAATTTGCCAAATATACAGGTGTTCATTAGAAATTCAGCTGAGACGGCTGTCAACTTTTCATATAACCTGTTGGCTTGTGTGCAGGTCTGTTAACCAAGAAGAGATTTTTATGTAGCCTACCTGAAATGCTGCTTAGCCTTTTTAGCTCCTTCTTGGTTTCCACAGGTGTGAATCCTTCCAGTTCCATGTTTGCACTATGAGCTTTACCAAGCTCTTTGACTTTTTTTGGCTTTTTTTTTTTAAATCAAAACTTTCTAAGAATGTGCACAAATTTCCATAAGGTGGTTGTATGTTATCTCTGTTGACTCCTAACCTAGTTTAACCCAAGGACACATTTCACCTTCGTAGAAATATTTATTGATACACTGGATAGTACTTGTTGTGGAAAAACTTGCACTATAAGGAAAGAATGAAGTAGGCTTTTATGCAAATAACTTCTTTGAAGACAAATTAAAATGTTCAAATACTCCTATAGTAGTCCAGAGCAATTTTGTAATAGCCCAGAGACAACTTCCAACACATTTGTCTTTTTGTTCTTCAAGTGAGAAATTATGTCTTCTGGCTTTGATTCTGGGGGTAGGAATTGCTTTAGTGTTACCTTAAATGTATTTGTGCTAGATGCCACTCCTCTGTTCCTCACCTTGGGAATGCTAAATTAATTTCATCTTGGAGAGTGTTCAGACCACTGAAACTGCACACTTGACCCAGCTTGTGAAATGAATCATAGGGTCAAGTATGGGTAAAAGAATATTCTTGTGATCACTCCTTGCCAACAGACAAACAAATCTGGGAGGGGAAAAAAACCCAACCTGTTATAACTGGTGGTTACACTGGTTTGTTTTGGATTCACAATTGACTGTAGGTTCTATTAGGATACATGCATAAGTGCAAGGAAAAGTTGGAAACCTTTTGTTACAGTCCTTGTGTTGGAGACAGGACTGAGAATGTGAAGATTTTGAACACCAAGATAGTGAAAATGTTTTAATGTGTGTATTGATGCTAAGTGTGTGTTTTATTGGGAATATACATATTGGAAAATCAAAAGTAGGAGAAGTAATCTGCAAAATGTAGTTTTACTGCATGTTTCTGTCTCTAAGGCTCAAAGCATACATATTCCATCTGTCCTACAGCTTGTCACTTGGCAAAACTGAATACTGATTCCTGGCAAACCTCAGTATTCCTTTATTCTTTGTAGGGGCGGACTAGCTGAGAGGTTATGTCAACTGCAGAACAGAGAAAGATCTGCCATTAGCTTTTGGAGGCATCAGTGTATTTCAGATGCTAAAATCCCCTCAGGTAAGAAATATTATACATATACTTCTGTGTGAAAGTATATACTTACATGGATATGTACATGGCCCACATACGGGTACAACTGAAGCTTGTATTATTTGTGGGATTTCCCTGACTTGAATTTAATAATCTGTTGATTGTCTTCTAAGACTATATTACATTTCAGCTAAATATGGTGGTTTATAATGTCTCAGTTATCAAAGTGTTTGAATGTAAATGTCAAAGAACTTGGTTTAAATACCCTCCATGCAGATTCTTCACAACTCCTTGATTTCCAGCATCACCTAAGGAAATGGTGTTTGCAGCAGACTGTTGGACATTCAAGGTTTAATTTATGGGTGTACAGATGGTTTTTTTTTGCTCCTGCTAACTTTTTCTTTATAACCACCTTTTTCCTTGTTATCTTTGAAGTCAGCTGTATCCATGGATAAGTGCTGAAATTGTGAATGACAGCAAACAGGGACAAATGAGCATGAAGCATAACTACAGTAAGGCACCTCACTAAAAAAGAAATAGTGGGAGTTTTGTGAAGTAGTTACAAGTGACTGATAGCACCAGTTACTTTCAGTAGTATTTCTTGAGAGATAATGGATTCATAGAGCTAAAGTGTAAAGAAATGGTTAGGGTTTTTTATCAGTTTATGTATGTGTAACTGTAGGCTACAAAATTTCAGGCATTTATTCTGCATTAAGCCAACTACTTGTTTCTGAGCACATACTAACTTCCATTTATTTTTCAGGAAGTCCTCTGGTAGTAATTTGAAAACATACGGACGAGGGAATCTATCACTTGCCTTGAGAGTGTCCTTAATTCCACTCCCAAATTTTTAAAAGTGGGCTTTCTTCCAAATCTGAGTTTGTCTGGCTTCAGTTCCCCTCCTTTGTTTCTTGTAAAGCCTTTCTCCATTACATTAAAGAGCTCTTCAGTATGTGGCATATTCCCTCTCTGGCACTTGCATAGCAAAATCATGCTGCCTCACAACTTTCATAACCTAAACAGTCTGAGCTCTTTAATGCTCTCTAAAGCATTTTTACCAGTCTTTGAGTGGTCTGCATGGCTTTTTACTGCACCCTCTCAAACTTTTCAGCATGGGCATAAGAACAAGAATGGTTACTCTGTATGTATTCTTCTGGGTTTAGTCTCATCAAAACCACTGGCCAGGTCCAGTTCATTATTCTGCCTCCTGTATGCTCAAGACCTGTAATGAGTGTTTGAGTCTGGTTGTGCTTTAGTCACAGCACTATGCTGGGACTTCACATTGAATTGATTGTCCAATATGATTTCATAACTTCTGTAGCTGTTGTTTTCTGAGATCCAGTTTCCACTCCACAGCTACTCTTTGTATTTCTTGTACCTAAACACAAGGAAGTATTTGTGCAGATATGCTGCATTTGAGTATGCCCAAGTAACCATGCAGTTCAGATCATTGTGTATGTCAAGCCTGTCCTCCTTTAGTCACAAATTTGCTTGAAACTGTGTTACCCACACAGTTTTTTATTGTGTTTTTAACTTGTTTTTATGCCATTGATGAAACCATTTAATAGCATGAGTGTTTACTTTTAAATCCTGCTGGAACTGCTCCCACTCAGTTATGACTGTCCACTGATAAAAACCTCTAACTGTAATTCACAAAGTTCTCTGAAAGTAATATATATAATTTCTTTTTGCATTCCACTTAAAAGGGTTTGTTACTGATAGTGAAGATGGTTGTCTTTTCATAAGAAGGTTGTATGATTTTAAGTCACATTCAAGCTGTTGGCTAAAGCTAGTCTCACAGTCTCTCACTGGAGCTTTAGAGTGGCCACTTGCATGCTTACGTATTCAAAATGCCACCCATGTGGAATGGCACATTATATTTCTGACCTTAATTCCTTACTTATTTTTCCAGTCACTTTGCCTAGATCTGATGTCAAGCTAGATGTTTTCCAGTTATTGTAGGTCACTTTGTTTGCCCTTCCTGAATAGTAGCACAATATCATCATCCTTTTAGTCTTCTGGAATTTTGCCGGTACTTGAAGACTTACTAGAAAGTAACATCAGGGAACCAGAAATGTCTTTAGCCAACTCTTTTCTGAACTGCTATATTGTAAATTCTACAGGAATGCTGACTTAAAACCAGTCAAGCCTTCTGCATGCTCTTATCCTCCACCTGAGTTACTAAAGAATATGAGGGTACTTTATCATTCTTACGTGGTATGAGAACATCCTCTTGCTTCCTCTGAAATATGGAACACAAATTGATCCTGGATAGGTCAGTCTTTTTAATAAAATGAAATTTTTAGTATGGTCTATAGTAGTGGACCCGCAACATTGCTAATACACTAATATTCTTTCCGTCTTAGCCACACATGTCATTACAACACCTTGTGCTTGGCTACTCACCATTTTGTTAGACTTAAACTCCTAGGCTGAAATATTCCATGCTAAACATCTGCCCCTGGCTGAATTCCTTCCTTTGATTATTCTTTCAGAAAATGAGTCAGAATTTGTTAGCATTTTATGAGAAAAAAGGCTATGGGAAAATACCTTGCTCTGTTCCAAAAGACATTTAAAAAATTCTGATGAGTCTCTTCAAGATGATTTAGTTTTGGCAGAAGATGAACCATTTCTGGGATATGCCTTTTGTCATCAGGGTTAAAATCTACAAGAACTTGAGCAAGTCAGAAGTCTTTTAACACAAACTACTGTTTCATTTACCCTGTGAGCATTTGCTGAAATATCTGAAAGATGCTGAACACGCCATAACTTAGGAATACACTTCAACTTCACAGCCTAAATTTCACTTCCAATTCCCAAGCCTTATTCCAAAACATGAAGATGATAAAACAATCATTAAAGTAATTGTGATAATATTTGGGGGATATTTTTTCCCCTAGGGTAAAATCTATCTTTGATGCTTTTGTTGTTAGAATGGCCATACTCTTTCACGTCACCAAAATAAAATTGGTGTTTGGTTTGGAAAATGACAGAATGGTTGAAACAACCTTCTTATTGCTTCTAGTCTGAAATGTGAAGTGTCAGTACAGCCAATACATACCACTTTCATCTTTTATCTTCTTAGAGCCATACTAAGGGTGTCTCACTAATCTGAGATTCTTCTTGGATATTGTTTCCCCTCTGCTTTGCCCAGTAATATTTCTAACCCATATTGTTTCCAGGTCTGTTTCTGTTTGGGCAAAAAAAGTAAAGGAAAGAACTTCCCAAATGACAAACTTCCCAAAGGACAAACTTAAATGAATTATCAAAGGAGCCTGAAGATTCATGTGAAGGATTGAAGTAACTTAGTTGCTGGAAGAGCTGTCACACCATTTTGGATATCCTGTAGACATGCAGACAATAAGTTCATTGCCAAGGCAAAGGGGAGCAATTTCAAATAAGATCAGTTTGAAGTCCTTCTTCCATTTGCGATTTAAGGAAAAATGTTTGCAGAAACGTGGGTTGTTCGCCCTTTAGGCATTTCATGTTACAGAATTTTATGCCTTTGTTGTGCTGTTGTTTACTTTTGTGTTGTCTCAACGGCCATGTTATCCAAACCCCCCTTGCTTTGGCTTTGTTTTTTAAAAATTCCTCTCTGATTGCTCCCCTGACCCCTTTCTGTAAGTAACCATTGTGGTTTGGCTGCTTCTTGGTCACTGGGATGAATCACTACCCCAGAAAAGAGCACCTCCTTTCAGCACGCTCTTTCTGGCTTTTATACAGTGCATGGGGGTCTCACTTTTGGCTGATTTACTCCACAGGGCAGAAGAGAGCCTTGTGCTTCCTCCATCTTGACAATTTTGGGTTAAAATTCCTTTTGGCAGCCTGACCCTGTGTTGGGATAGGCACTCAGTAAGGATGTGTGTTTTTGCAAGGTGATTGGTAGTTCCACTTCTGTAATCAAGCTAAACATGTCCAACAGGCCTGAAAAGAGAGAAGACCAAAGCTTGTGTATGCTACGCGGTGTTGGTTGCTGTGGCTTAGTTCTAACAGAGATGGGCGTCGGGCTCTTTGCCACAAATCCAGAATTTTTTCTTTTCTTCACAAGATGTAAAAGGGAGGCTGAGAAGCGTGCAGGCACCATAACAGCAAGTCTCTAGTCAGTCAAGCTGAGAGACTACTATGTGCAAGGGCTTTTAGGCCATTTGCAAGCTTTTTTTCTGTATGTAGTGCTGCAACTTCCCCGTGAAATTTCCTGTTTGGGCAAAGAGGAGATCTGGATAGTTGAGAGAGAGAGAGAGAAGGGTGGGGGGAAAAATGAAAACCCAAACCTTTTCCTGTCAACATTTGCCAGTTGTATGGGGATTGTGTGAAAAATAGTGCTTTTCTGAGTTGCATTCAGGCAACTTTTCCTGTCGATAGGAGAGGACACTAACAGTATTTGAAGCAAATTCATGTAGATTACTTCTGTAACTTCTGAAATTTTGTTTTCAATACATTTTCCATTGCTTTTCTTTTCCTTGCAGCTCTTTACCTAAAATGCAGAAGCATATTATTCTGTAGGATTTGTAATCTTATACAAGGATATTCAAGATTTGTTGGCCTAAGATTAAGATTTGAGATTGGATTACAAGTGAATTTGAGTAATAAACTGATAATAAACCCAAACCATTGATGTTTCCTTCCAAAATACTCCTTCCTCTTAGGGGAAAGTGACCTTCAAGGGAGAATAGTTGTTCAGTTTGCTGAGGCAAGTGGAACACACACGTGAGGGGAGGAGGGTGAAGCCCTGGAGATGAGCACAGGGCTTCACACGCAACACCACATTTTGAGGAAGGCTGAATGGTTTACAGAAGAGGACATAAACAATGACTTCCCTCACTTCCAGTTTCAGTGACTAGTTGAGGTGATGAGAAGAAAGGATTTTAGCAGCTTGAATACCATGAGGCTTGCACAAAGAATTATCTCTGTGGATGAAGAAAACAAGGGTAGTCCCTTCACAGGGTTTCATTTTACCATGCAAAATTCTTCTAAAAACACAAAAACCTGAGCTGTGCCAGTTGTTGCTTATTTTCTTAGCTCTTGAT